CCCAAGACAGGGCACCCCAATATGGGCACCCGGGCATGGGGCATCGCAGCATGGGCATCCCAAAACGGGCACTCCACCATGGGCACCTCTGCGTGGGGACCACAACATGGAGCACCCCAATATGGGCACACTGGCATGGGTGCTCCCACGTGGGCACCCCAGCGTGGTCACCTGGGGACGGGGCACCGACACAGGCACCCCAGTATGGTCACCCTAACACAGGCACCCCATCACGGGCATCTCGTCAAGGACACCCCAACATGGGGCACCCCAGCAAAGTCACCTGAACACAGGCACACCATCACAGGCATCCCGTCATGAGCATCCCATCATGGGCACCCCAACATGGGGCACCTCAATATGGGTACCCCAGCACGGTCACCCCAAAACGGGCACGCTAGCATGGGCACCCCAACATGGGCACCCATCACTCCAACTCAGGCACCCATCGCCACGCTTGTGCCTGGGCCAGCAGCGAGGGGCAGGGACGTGCTGTAAGGCAGCAGCACCACAAGACCCAGTGCCCGACAGTGCCGGCTGCGCTCAGGCTGCCGCAGCCCCTTGCCTTGGCCGGGCACCGGGCGAACCCCTCCCCATTTGGGGACGGGACGGTGGAGGTACGTGGCCCTGGGACCGGTGACACTGGGCCTGGCCTGTCCAGCATCACGGTCCTGAGGTCACTCCCGTGCTGCAGCGGTTGCTGGAGCCCAGCCTGAGTCCAGCTTTTGTAAAAAATCCCATTTTTGCCCTTGGAGGCTGAAGAGCACCAATTGCATGTTTCTTTCCCCCACATCAGTTTACATGAAAATAGCAATTAACGTAATGCAAGCCAAACCTCGTTAAACCTCTTTGGGGTGGAGTCTGGGCAGCGAAACCCATGGAGCGCTCCGAGTGCCTGGGCAGGGGAGCCCCGCAAGACGGCAAGAAAACTCACGAAAAGTGCTGCCTTTGGGGAAAAAGCAGGATCAGGCCCTGAACTGAAGCAGCTTGGGTCCAGCTCCATCAGGGATGCGATGGCCAGGCTTGTGTTCTCCCGCTGACAGACACTGGGACTCGGTAGCCCATCGCTAGAGCTCTCCCATGGCACAGCATCCCTTAGGGATGCTCGCTGCCAGCGGCAGGAGACGCAGCTGCAAGTGGGAAAGTTCCTTCCCCGAGAAAGCCGCCTGCAAAATTACAACAGCAAAAACAGGAGGTGGCGTTATTTATTTAAAAAAAAGAAAATACCCGGGCTGCAAAAGCCGTAAGAGACAAGAAGCTGGGAATTTTAAGGGCTTTAGGTATTATTACTTATGGCAACGATTAGGGTTAAAGCCACGGTCTTAATTAAGGGTGATCATAAGGGAATTTCAAACCCTCCAGGGTTTGGAGGAAGGAGAGTAAAAAAGTCATTACTGCCCTGAATTTTTAAGGCTGAACCAAGTCAGGCCACCCCAGGAGGAGAAATCCTTGGAAACTCAGTCTGGGAGGGATCGAGTCCTGGGTCTAAATTCATCTGTCGGAGTCTTTCTCCGTGAGCTCGGTCCCCAGCACCCTGCTCTCGGGTGCTGTTGCAGCTCCCCCGCCCAGCTCCCACTCTGCAGCGCAGGGTTCGTTAGCGGTGATGGTGGTGGGGAAGTTCGTCACGGTGTTGCATCTCCCAGCCTGGGCTTCCACGCCTGGCTCTGTCCTGCAGGTGTGACGGTGTGACGGTGTGTGGGCCTGGGCTCCAAGTGAGCCACTGAAATGGTCTGGGTTAAAACCGGGGCTTTTCGCAAGGTTTTCGGCGGAGGCCCGTGGAGAGCGGCACTAGCACACCAGCAGAAGCAGGGGGATGGCTGCAGGGGACGGTGGCAGCGCGGGTGGGCACGGCCGCCCCTTCTCAACCCACCGCCTCATCCGAGGTACCTGGATGTCAGCCATACTCCGAGGACTCCTACGAACATGACTCTTACCCTTTGACTTTTTCCCTTAAAAAGAGAAACCTAATGCGTAGGAGCTGATGTCCAGAGCTATTTCTGAATAAAACAAAAACAAACCCAACGGGCTCCGTTCTTCTGCCGGGGTCCAACAAAAACAAGCTGTAAGTCAGACTCTGAAGACAGAGAACAAAGGGGAAAAACACTGGAAGCAAACAGAAATCCTTTTCCTTCCCCCTGTTGTAAAGCGGCTCTAAAGCCCAAGCAGATCTTGGCAAGGTCACGTCTCCTTTTCGTCTGCAGGCTCCTTTCCGTTTATTCCTCTCCTTTCCCAGATGCTGGAATCCTGCTCTGGAGACAAAGGTGGGGTGGGCAAGCGGCTCCTCTACGTTTTCTTTTCTCTCTCCTGTTCCACAGCACCACCCACCCGCAGTGGGACATGTCACCCCCCGGGCAGACCCACGTACAGGGACGATGCGAGTGTTCAGCGTGAGGACGAGCTGCGGCCGCAGGAGAGCGGAACCACTGCCCGCCCTGTGCCCGCCTGCGTGGTGCTACCCGCGAGGCTCCGTGGCCGCCTGGCCACCACCCGTCACCCGGAGCAGCTCTCCCACGCTGGCACTTGGTCACCTGGGGAAATGGGTGACTGTATTCATGAGGCTGCCTAAGTCTCCACGAGTGTTAGCGACTG